ATAGGGTATCTTCCAAGTTATTTGATGTTCTTTAAATTCCTCCAATGATCTTTTATAGTGTGCAGATTTTGCACTTGATTGGTTAAATTCATTTTTAATAATTTTTTGTTTGATGTGATTTTAAATAGAATTATTTTCTTAAAATTTGGACTGTTCATTTCTGTTGTTTAAAAATACAATTGATTTTTCATATTGATCCTGAATCTTGCAACCTTGTTGAACTCATATATTAGCTCTTGTAGTCTTCTTATGTACTATGTCTTTTATGATCTAATCTTGAAGGGCATACAGGTCACTTCTCCATATTATCTATTATTAAAAGTTAGTCATGGAGTCCAGCATACACTTGAGGGGAGGGATTTCAGACTCCACTTTTTGAAATAGGATTGTCAAAGAATTTATGGACATAATTTGAAGCTATCACAATAGTGTACTAATGATTGATTGCCTGATACAAAATTGCTACCCAGCCCTTACTCCTAATGTCTGTTTGAGTTCCATTTGGTCCTAGTCCTCTACTCTAGAGGACAGGAACTAGTAAAGGGGTGAATTTCAAAGTTCTCTTTGAGAATGCTGCATTTGTGTATAGTAGAGATGGATGGCTTCTTACTACAGATTGAATCAGAAGAAAGATTTTGAATAAGATTTTGAAAGATTTGAACCAGGTGTCGTGCCCTTATAGAAAATTATTAAATTGTATCAGCATGACCAATAAATCCAACTTCTAAAAATAATGTTAGTGGGAAGTCAGGCCTGATTCACAGTAGGAATAAATTTACTGCTTATTTATAGTTTTTCTCCTTCCTCTCTCCTTCCCTGGAAAACTTTCTCCTTCTCTCCTTTCTCTGTTTCTGAAAAGAACTTATAATGTTTAATGAATACTACCTCTATTTGATCACTAGCACAGAGGCTGTCCCATATCCTTGAACTTCTCCTTAGGTCTTCTGTTTAAGAACCTTCACAGTTACTGAATGCTTCATGAGATTTCTTCTCACTTTGTGGTAGACTGGCTGCATCCATCAAAGATGGCGACTATTGTTTCAGCAGCATTAACTCTTGTCTGCTTCACCAAGGATCTACAGTATGTTGACAGAGAAATTCTGGTTCTTTTTCAGGAGGTAAAACTTCATGCTGCTCTTCCAAGTGACCAGAGTGTTCTTTGTGGTCTTGTAATGATGCATGCCACCAGCATTCTCTCAGCCTCTTAGGAGCTTCCAGTGCTGGGCAAAGTGATCATAGCTGTGGTTCACAAATCCCTGAATTTCATGGCCTTAGTCTAGATGTCATGACCCATGATGGGGTGAAAGAGCTTGGATAGGTATTCTACAAGAACAATTTCAAAGTTAAATTTGTTCAAAAATAATCATAATAAGCCTCTTGGAATTAAGCTTAACATAAAAAGTGATTCTAATTATAAGCACTGGTGGGATAATAAATGATACTTAACACTGTTTATGTGGTAAATATTTCTATATAACAGTTTAATTCATAACTGAAACATCACACAACTTGACATTTACTACTTCCTTAATTCTTATACTCTCTTTTGAACACTTCTTAAATACTACATATACTTCACAATAATTCTATTATTTCTCGAGAATAAGAAAATCCAATCTTCTTGACCACTGAACTAAAAAGGAATGTTTTGGAAGTGATCTAAGATAGTGTTTGGCTCTTCATGATTGCTACTCCTGGTTGCTTATAAACTTTTCCCAAAACCACCAGATTCCACAGATGAGAGTGTGGAGCAAATTCAACTTCTGACTGTGTCTGTTGTTCATGTAAAGAAGTAGACTAAAGAAACAAAGGAAATGACCCAAAAGTGTCATTACAAGTATCTATCTTATTTTCTGTTTTTTTAAGTTATAAAAGATATTTTTCTTTCTTTCATGCTTTTACCTTTCCCCTCCATCAAAGTAAACAAAATAAGTAAGAAAATGCTAAATTAATTGTTCAAGGGGGTGATTCTAAGGATTGAGGGAAGGACGAACCCATTATAGGAATTACTAGAGGCTCTTGGTAGGCATTTTCAAATAACAATTCTAACAGGCTTTTTTTTTTTTTTTTTAGGAGACATCAAGTCCAGGTGAGTCACTGTTAATGACTCATTCATCCAGTAAATATGTATTGAGCACCTACTAAGTGCCAGATACTGTACCAGACTGAAGACTCAATGAGCAAAATCAGACGGGAACACCTTCTTTCTTTATAATTTTTTAGTTGTAGTTGGACACAAAGGTATTGTACTTTTATTTTTTAATTTATTTTTATGTGGTGCTGAGGATCAAACCCAGGGCCTCAACATGTACTAGGCTAATTCTCTACCACTGAGCCACAACCCCAGCCCCCAGGAATACCTTCTTTATGGAGGTTTTGATTTGGAGGTGAAGGAAGAGGAGACAAACATTGATCTAATAATCACACAGGGAAATGTAGGATTATAACTGTGATCAGTTCTAAGAAGGACAGAGCCCTGTAGTATGAAGAATGTAACCTCACCTGTGGAAGGGTGGGTTGGTGGTGGAAAGCCTCCACAAAGAGACAGGATGAATTTGCAGGAAAGTGAGAAAAACTTTCCTGGAAAAATAGGATGTGGTTCAGGTGCAGAGAGGATAGGGAAGTTGTATGAAATAGAGCTGGAGAGATTGGAAGGAGCCCATTGTGGAAAACCTTCTAGACAATATATTATTTCAGTCAAAGGTGGGGTGAAAAGGTCAGAAACCATTGCCTAAGCAATTTAAAATGCTGAATTAAAAGTAAACTTTTCCTTTGTATCTTTATTTTCTCCCTTTTCTTTTTCTTAAATGTGAACTGAAGAGAATTCAGAACTTTTTTTTTTTTAACCGGGGATTGAACTCAGGGGCACTTGACCACTGGGCCACATCCTCAGCCCTATTTTGTATTTTATTTAGAGACAGGGTCTCACTGAGTTGCTCAGCACTTCGCTTTTGCTGAGGCTGGCTTTGAACTTTCGATCCTCCTGCCTCAGCCTCCTTCAGATCTGAGGTTCTAAAAGAAGTTTTGGTTAAATGTTGGTGACTCATACCGTACTAAAGATTTTAATTTTGGGTGAAGACTAACATTCTGCTGTAGTGTAGCCTGTGTTAATCCAGCAAAGTTTACCACATAATCCTGGAACTGATTCCAAATGTTATCTTGGCTTCATTACTTCCTCACTTCTTGGCTTCACATCTTTCTGTAGGTGAATTATTTTTTATTTTAATAATTATTTTATTTGTTCTAATTACTTATACATGAAAGTAGAATGCATTTTGACACATCATACATAATTGGAGTATAACTTCTTGTTCATCTGGTTGTACATATAATTATATGTGCACATAGGGTAATGTGTGATTTATTCTACTTTCATTCCTACCCCAATGCCCCCCCCCCTTTCACTTCCCTCTGTCTAGTCCAATACCTTTATTTTCACCACCCTCCGCCCATTGTAAATTAGCATCTGCATATCAGAGAAAACATTCAGCCTTTGGTTCTTTGGGATTGGCTTCTTTCTTTTAGCATGGTATTCTCCAGTTCCACCTATTATGGTAAATGCCATAATTTCATTTTTCTTCAAGGCTGGGTAATATTCCATTGTGTGTATATACCACATTTTCTTTACCCACTCATCTACTGAAGGTTATCTAGGTTGGTTCCATAGTTTAGTTATTGTGAATTGAGCTGCTATAAACATTGATTTGGCTGTGTCGCTGTAGTATGCTGATTTTTAGTCCTTTGGGTATAAACCAAGGAGTGGAATAGCTGGGTCAAATGGTGATTCCATTCCAGGTTTTCTGAGGAATCTCCATAATGCTTTCCAGATTGGTAGCACCAATTTGCAGTTTCTGTGGGTGAATTATTAAGCATTCTGTGCCTCAATTTCCTGAACTACAAAACAAAATTAAAATAATATCTCAATAGGGTACCATGAACATTATGTGATTTACATAAATGTTAAGCACTTTGAACTACACACAGTGCTCCAAAAAGTGAGCTTTATTTATTATGACATAAAACTTTTATTGCAAATATTAAATATTCCTGTGTTACCAGATCTTGAAGTATGGTATGAGAACCTGCAGGGGGGTGGAGAGGGGATTTCTTGGACATCCTTTTCAGGGGTGAAGCCAAAAACTATTTCTTAATACTAAGAGGTTATTTGCCTTTTCCTTTCTTTCTCAAGGAGATGCAGTAGCTTCTCAGAGCTATTAAAAAATGGATACTATTAATATATATAAGCAGCTAGATGACCCGGTTGTCTTCTATTAGGCTGGACATTAGAAACTTCCCACTAAATTTTTCATTTTCAAAGTTACTTGTCATAAAAATGTTATTTATGTCATCGTGTAAAGTACTAAAATATTATGAAATTCTCATACAATAAATATTGGCATAACCTACAGGAACAAAAGCTTTTTGGATCATTATTATTATTTTTTAGTACAAGGGGACCCAGTGATCTGATGCAATCTCTGAACAAACGTGGGTGCCTGTGACTGCCTCAACATCATACTTTCCGGCCTCCAGACCTTCTTGTGGTTTCCTCTGCCTGGACTGCACTTCTTCCACTTCTGCCTGCAAAAGTCCTACCTCTCCTTCAAGAACGACTAAGGCTGGATCTCTCCTGCAAGTTGGTCTAGGGTTTGCACCCTCCTACGCCACCAGAGCATGTCCAGACCTCCAGGATGGGGCTGGGTTCCTCCACCCCAGGGCGCTCCTCCCAGCACCAGCCTGGCACAGCCAAGTTAACTCGACTAAAAGGTCGGTTCCTGGGCGCTTCTAAACCGGAGGTGGTCGAAGGGTCACCAGGAACAGCTGGTGAAATACAGCCATCACGTGGGTGGAAAGGAACCGCACAGGTACCAGTTTTACAACCTTGCCCGCTGGGCTTCCGGGCACGCCTCGCCGCGTAGGGGCGGAGCCACGCGTCCGAAGAGGGCGTGGCCCCCAGCCCGCGCGGGAAAGGGGCCGGCGCCGCATGCGCGCTCACAGTCGGCGGCCGCGCGCAGCACGCTCAGGGCCGGGATGGCGGCAGCGGCTGGAAGCGGGGCGCCCCGGGAGGAGGAGGGGCCTGGAGGGGAGGCAGCGGCCTCACAGGCTCAAGCTCCGACGAGTGCCCCGGGGGCTCGTCTCTCGAGGCTGCCTTTGGCGCGAGTGAAGGCTTTGGTGAAGGCGGACCCCGACGTGACGCTAGCGGGACAGGAAGCCATCTTCATTCTGGCGCGAGCCGCGGTGCGGCGGGAGTGCAAGGGCACTAGGGGTGGCGGCGCGTGGCCCTGGGGGGCGTGGCTTCCCAGGGGCGGGGCTTGGGACGGCTTGGGCGGAATTTGGGGAGGGAGGAGGAAGAAGAGGGTCTGGGCGGGGTGTGCTGAGCCAGAAAGTGAAAGGGGTGTTTGGCTGCAGTCTGAGGCGTGTGTAATCAGGAAAGGCTGGAGCAGAGGGTCACGCACCTTCATGGGTTGTATTGCTTTGTTAACCACTTTACGAGGGCGCAGAGATCAACTTTAATTTGCAGCTCTCCTGGCTCACATACAACTTGTAGCAGTCTAGTAAAGGAACACGGTGGATTTATGAGTAGGGGGGAAGAGGTACTGGAATGACCTTAGTGAAGTCCAGTACCGTCTTAAGTTTCAGAACCTCCCCACCTGCTTGAGCCCTTCACCTTCTTTTCTTTCAAAAGCAGGAGTCCGTTGATTTTTTTACTTTGTTCATTTGTTTGACAGGAACTGTTTGYGGAGACCATTGCAAAAGATGCCTACTGTTGTGCTCAACAAGGAAAGAGGAAAACCCTTCAGAGGAGAGATTTGGGTAGTGTCTCTGTAGTATCTGGCAGTAGACAGTGGAGGGCTGGGTTAAGCTTCCCCTTTGCAGGTTGAGAAGGCAAAGCAGGTGTTTGATTTCTGACCCTCTGTCTAGCTGCTAACCCTTGCACATGTCCGAAGTTTTCAAATCTTGTACTCCCTGCTATATTGCCAAACTCTTCTCTGATAACTTTCAGAGCAAAGAGAATAAATTCAAGAGTAAAGCAACATGGTAGGAGGATTCCCATTTCCCCTTCTCACTGAACAGTATTTGCCCGGTCTTGACTTTATTAGGCAGCCAGTATGTAAGATTTAGTGATGGAACAGAATAAATCTCAAGACAGCAAGGGACATATTGTATAAATGCCTAAATCTGTATAAAGCCTTATCCCCTTCATTGTGTGGATTGTGCTAATTTGGAGCTGATGTCCAGATGACTACAGTCAAGTGTCCCTTTTCCTTGTGTTTCAGATAATGCAATAGAAGCTGTCGATGAATTTGCTTTTCTGGAAGGTAAGCTTTTTATCAGTGGAAAATCATTTCCACCTATCTTTTCCATGCTCATGATGCGAGTTCAGCTCTTAAAAACAAATGTTTGGTTCTCTCTTATTTGTACAGAGATAGTTTCTTCTCCTTACTTCCTATTAGGACAGTGAAAACAAACTTGCTAACTCTATTTAGAGTCAGTTTCCCTTGAGGAGTTAGAACTTCTGGAGAACTGCTAACCATAAAGAAGGGAGAGGAAATATGAAGACACATGGTGGACTCAGATGAATTGGAAAGTTTTGTACCTGCTTGTGTTTTCCATCCCTAAATATAAATAAATAGAAATTTTGTTCCTTCATCATAACATTAGCCATCAGGAACAATTGCCAACATTCTGTCCATTTTCTTCTTTAGCAATCTGTATGTACTGATTATTATGCATTGAGATTCTGTACTTTGTGTAACTATTTTTTCTTAGGAATTTTAGGTTAACTCTTGTACTAACTAAATCTTGTCATCAAAATAGGAAATACTTGAAGTACTGCATTTTAACTGCTTTCTCAGCTRTTTCTTCTACTGAATTCCTAAGTCTTACTCTTCAATCCGTGTATTCTGATTGAATAGCTTTTCAGAATCCATGTGCCCTCAATTCATTCCCACCTTCACCCTAACAAGGTGTTCTCATTACCTCCTTTAAGCTTCATTACTTTCTGAAATCTTTTCTTCATTTATTTCATTCTTTTTATTCCGTGTTCTGCATCTCCATATCACACTAGGCCTGTGTTGTAGTCTTTTAAATGTCTTTGAAGATCCCTTTCCATGGCCAGCTTCAAGCCTAGATCTTAAGTAATCTTTAATTTGTAGATCTTTGTTCAGCCTCTTTTTCAACCTATTTTTCTTAAAAATAATTTCTCTTAGTTTCGTTTGTTGCTCTATAATCCAGTATGTTGGTGTATTCTGTGTGTGGGTTCGTATGAAGAAAAAGTGTATTCTCCAGTTGTTGGGTGCAATGTCAAGTCTCATTGCATAGTTTATATTTTCTATATTCTTACTGAATTTCTTTTGTCTGCTTACTGTATCAATTAATGAGAGTTGTGTATTAATGTCTCCTATGACTGAAGAATATTTTCACTTATGGTTCTGATCTATTTTTCATTATAGATTTAAGACTGGAATTAGGAATATACAAATTTAAAATAATTATATATGCTCGTGATAGAACCTTTAATATTTAAAAATTTACCATTGTTACTTCTAGTAATGTTTTTTGCCTTAAAGTCTATTTTGTCTCATGTTATTAAAGTTTGTCAGCTTTCTTTAGTGTTTGTGTTTTTTCCCCTATCTTTTTGTTTTTACATTTCCATATCTTTGTAAGCGCTGTATAATTGGGGATATTAAATTCATACTGACAATCTTTGCCTTTAACTGGAGCACTTAGTTCATTTATGCCTAATTTAATTAGTGATAACAATAGACTTAAATCTCCCATCTTATTTTTTCTGCTTTTCATTTGTCCTATTTTATACTGCCTTTTGTATTATTATTCCTTTTTTTTCCCTCCCTTCCATCTGTTGGGAAATTGTATATATCTATCCTTTTAGGATTAGTTCATTAGTTACTATATGCATGCTTAATTTATCAAAGCCAAAAGTTAGAACCTTTTTCCTCATCCTCAGCAAAATGGAATCTTAGAATCCATTAATGCCATTTATAAACCCTCATCCCTCAACTTAACATGCTGTTATTGCCATGTGTCTTTATCAGCCCACATCAGACATTGTTATTCATGTATGATACAGATAATATATGAGTTTATTCATGTTTACTACAATTTTTGATCTTTTTGTATTTCTTATCCTCCATTTGTAATCCTTTTCCCCCAAATAAGTCCTTTAGAGCTTTCTTTGGTATAGGTAACTGAGAGCTGACTCTCAACTTTCTTTTTTCTTTTTTGAGGGGGAAATGGAAGTACAAAAAGATTTTACTGCTAAATTTAGAATTCTAGCTGTCCTTTTACCATTTTTTGGCTTCCATTGTTTCTGTTGAGAAATCACAGTTTGTCTTTTGAAGGTAGTTTATCCCTTTTTAAGATTTTCTCGGGCTGAGGATGTGGCTCAAGCCGTATCGCGCTTGCCTTGTGTGTGTGCGGCCCGGGTTCGATCCTCAGCACTACATACAAACAAAGATGTTGTGTCCGCCGAAAACTAAAAAATAAATATTAAAAATTCTCTTTCTCTCTCTAAAAAAAAAGATTTTCTCTTTGCCTTTGATTTTCTGAGATTTCACTCTGATGGATAGAAGTTATGGATATGCTCTGGGAAATTCTCAGCCAGTTTCTCTAGACATTGACTCTGCTTTGTTCTTTCTCTGCACTTTTTCTGGGATTTTCACTAAACATACATAAAAGCCCAACCCTAATTTTGCCTTTGTATGATATGTTCTGTGTAATTTTTTGTTTTGGAATTTTCGGTTCTCTCTTCAGTTCTTTTCATTTCCTTTAAACCTCTTTGTTGATTTTCTGTGGATACTCTGAAACTTGTCTTTCATTTATTTAAGTGGTGAATGTAGTTGTTTATTATAGAGTATGTCATGTGTAATATTCCATCTAATATCCAAAGCCTTTTGAAGTTCTTTGTAGTATGTCCAATCCAATATCTAGACTTTTTGAGTTTGTCTTTTTTTAATCTGTTCTTTCTTTTGGTACTGTCTTTACATAGTGGTCATTGCACTGGAAAAAATTATTTGTTGATAATTTGAGATTTTATGGTGATATCTTTCTCCAAAGAAAAATTTTCTTTGCTCCAGCAGGACACCTAGGAACATTATCAGTACAGTACCTCCTTAATGAGATCTAAGACTGAAAGATTCCTGCATCATAGTGGTGACGTAACCTCTGGGCTACAGGTCTGTGAGGAGTCTGATTTAATTTTGGTTACTGTGAGGGTATAACATTATGGGACTCTAGCTTAAAAAAGGATGGGTTACCAGTCCTCCTTACTCAGGCAGACTTTGGGGTTTGGCTATTGATTGGTTCCCTGCCTTTTGAAAATTTTAGATTTGCCTTTTCTTGATTTTTTTAAATGTCTTAAAGATCTTCTCTCATTTATACACACACACACACACACACACACAGTTGTTACATATATACATGCACATATTTATATATTTTAGCTTTATTAGTTGGTCTCAGCAAGATGTTGTCATTGTCAAAAGCAGGCTATTATCTTTTTAAATTAGAGGTGTTTCTGGCTTGTTTTTACTATGTTCTTTGCCTTGAGTTATCTGTTTTATGCTAGAACTTTTAAAGTAAATTTTGGTCTCTTTTATTTGTGTAGGATTTCTTTAAATTCTCAGTGATGTTTATTCTTTTTAAGAATGAGAGAATGTGAAGACTGGAAGCTGTGTGTAGTGTAGTGGGGATGGTTGTTGCCTGGCAGCTTTGCTTTAGGATGAGCAGGGTTGTGGTCAGATGTTAACCTGGGGCTTCCAAAGGCCAGTATACAGAATGCTCTGTTGTGGGAGCAGTGTTGTTAGAGGAGCTCTAGTGTCTCCTGATGGTCTGTCTGGCTCTTAAAGAGAGCCCTGTGCTTCTCCCATCCAAGTTAGGTGTAAATGTCTTCACCACATAGAAAAAGTTATGAGAGACATGTGGGGGCAATAGTTTGTGATAGAGAAACATGGGTCATTGTCTCATTTTCCTCTCTGGTCTTTTATAATTCTTGATGACTGAGTCTAGATCCTCCCTATGGTTCTAGGCAGATGGGCTTCCTCTTCAGCTGCAGCCCCCTCTGTGTTCCTTCTGGGTTCATTTTTCTCTCCTCTATTTATAAACTTGCTTCAGGCAGATTTTGATAATTCACTTTTTGTTGTTGTTGTTGTTGTTGTTGTTGGAATCTGTTAACTGCCCATAGGCCCCTGTTCCTTATTGTAGATTTATACCTTTTTTAAACGTTTTTTTCCTTTTGAATGTAATTTTGGGTGGCAGCGCATATAAATTTATGGGCTTGGTCCTACATCTTAAGCTGGAACTATCTAAAAGATTATAAACTCTTTTAGCTTATGTCATTTATTTTATGTCACTTACTCCTTGTATGGTTTTCCTGTATGTTTAGTTACACAACAATTTCTTAAACCTTACCTGCCTAATTCTAATTCTCTAGATTGGTATGCTTAATTTCCAACTGCCCACCCTCTTTAATATCATATTTTTCCCTGAGGAGCTTTTGGATAGATATTCTTCAAAATTAGAATTGCTGCTTATATCAACATCCTTTCTATTTTAACTTTGCTCAGTTTGTTACACTAATCCCGCTTTCGAGGTACCTTGCTTTACATATTGCTCTTTGTATTTTTAGGTACTTTGGATTGATTGCTGAGCTGGRCAGTTTTTGAGCCTTCACTGCATTCTTCAGCTTGCCTCTCTGTAGGCCTCAGCTTTGAAGAACAGAATCTCTGCACATGTGCACATCTTCCTGCTCTACCTTTACTTGAGCCGGGATAAGCAGAGCTCTTACCTGATAACTTTTCTTTATAAGGTCTTCCACTACTTATGTCTTCCACTTTAGCCCTGGATGCAGCTGTTGCTGCTTGGGGCAGAGATGAAGAAATTGTTTGCATAGGTGGCTTAATGAATGATGAGGACCAGAATAAAGGCCTTTGGTCAGCTTCATTCTAGTGTGTTCCATGATCTTGCCTTTGTTCTTGCCCTGTGATTGGAAAGCCACCATGCCCTGGTACAGACCTTCCTGATCTTCMCTGCCAGCCATTTTAAACCACAGTCCTTTCATTATTTTTGTTCTTTGTTCAATGTGGCACCATAATGTGGTTCCAGAATTTATAGAATAGTATTTGTCTTTAGTAGTCATAGATTGAAACTAGTTAAATTTTTTAATTGAGAAATAATTCATAAACAGTTCACCAAAGTGCATAATTCATTGGTTTTTAGTATAGTCACAGATGATGTGCAACTATCACCAATGAATTTTTGAACATTTTCAAATGAATGGAATCACATAATATGAAGGCTTTTGTGCTTTTGTGTCTGGCATTTTTCATGTAGATTTTTTTTTCTTTTTTTTCTTTCAAGCGGTCATGTTTATTTATACCAATAGGTTATATTAGATCATTAGTATGATAACTACATTATTGTTCATGTAGATTGTTTTTGTTTATTTTTTTTAAGATTTGTCCATGTATCAGTACCTTTTATAAAAATTGTGGTAAAGTATACATAATATAAAATTTACTGTTTTAACCATTTTTAAATGTATTTAGCTCAGTGGCATTAAATATATTGTTGTACTACCCTTACCACTATCCTCCAGAATTGCTGACACTTTGGGTGGGGAGAAACAGGGGAAACAGTATGGTGAAGGTTTTATTTATTTTTTTGCAAATGTATAACTTTCTCTTAGTTGTTAACATAGTGGGGTTTAAATTCCTTTAAATTGTGTAGCTTGTATTCTTAGATTCTGTTTCCAATTCTTAATAACGGCTGAGATCAAAAAGTGAAAAAAAGTAAACTGAAACTTGATACCCATTAGATACCCATTAAACAGTAACTCCTCTTTCCTGTCTCCCTTAGTCACTGGCTAAATTTTTTATTTTTGTGAGAAAGTGTGAGTGACATAGGAAGCAGGCAGAGGACTAGAAAGCAGTGATAAGGAAAGCAGCAAGAAACCTTGGAGAGCAGTTCTTGAGTATTTCTGGTTGTGGACCACTTTTAAGATACAAAGTCCAGGGCTGGGTGTGGTGGTGCGAGTCTGTAATCCCTTCGATGGAGAAACTGAGGCAGGAGGATCACAAGTTCAAAGCTAGTCTCAGCAATTTAGTGAGGTCCTGAGAACCTTGGCAAGCCCAAAATAAAATATGAAAAGGGCTGGGGATGTGGCTCAGTGGTTAAGTGTCCCTGGGTTCAATCCCCAGTACTAAAAAAAAAAAAAAAAAAAAATACAAAGTCCACAGGATCTTCCCCCTAGAGTAACAATGAGATGCTCAGTCCTATAACATTAAAAAAAAAAAATAAACTTCATTTCAGAATAAGATGATTCCCAGAAAGTTCTTGCACATCCCATACCTAGTTCCCCCATTGCTAGCATCTTAAGGTTACTAGGTACATTTGTTAAGAAATGGCATTTATGGATCACTATTAACTGCACTCATAGTTTTTAGGATTTCACTAATTTTCCCATTCCAAGATCCAAACCAAGATACTATATTGCATTTACTTGTCATGTTTCCTACTCACTGGTTTCTGACAGTGTCTAGTCTTTTCTCAGTTTTTTAATTTTTTTTTTTTTTTTTTACTGCTTTGACATTCTTGACTAATTCTGGCCAAGTATCCTAGATTGTGCCCCTGCCTGGGTTTATCTGTCTGTCTTGTCATTAGTTAGCCCCATAACTTTGCATATAATTTTGGATGTTTTACAGACCTTGGAGGCCTGTCTGTATGCCTCTTATTATGGTAAATGGGAGTTTACAAGGGCATGCTGACCTTTTCTCAAGGTAAATTAAAATATAGGTTGCAGCTCAATAGTGGGACATGAAATCAATATAGTGTGTTGCCACCAGCATTTTTTAATATAGCAAGGTGACTGACTGATTGTTACGTTGACATACCATATTGAAAAATATAGACAAGATGTTAGATGCCGTCACCAAAAAGTAAGTAATGCATTTTAAAATTAGCTAGATTTAACCATGTCACGTACTTCAAAACATCATATATGTAATTAAAAACAATGTTATTTGTTCATTTAAAATTAGCATCAGGTGTTGAATTTAGTAAGTAACTAAGTATTTTAATTTTCATTGCATGTATGTTTGTGTACTAGGTCCTTGTGTAAAATGTATGTGGTAGGTAAAGTCTTGGCCCCCTTTACCTTCATGCCCCCCTTCCCTGGTGTCATGCCTGTAATGTTATGTTACAGGGCAAAAAAGATGTTGCAGATATAACTAAGATTATTAATCAGTTGATTTTAAAATAGATTATCCTGAATTGTCTGGGCAGGCTTAATCATGTGATCCCTTAAGCAGTTTCTTCTGGCTGAGAATAGAAAAGAATGTGACCTGTAGTKGCTTTGCTGGCTTTGAAGATACAGGGGGCCATAAGCCAAGAAATGTGAGCACCTTTAGAAGTTGAGAATAATGGCCAGCACAGAAACCACCTCAGGCCCTCAACTGTATGGAACTGGATTCTGCCAGGCACTTTAATGGTCTTGGAAATGGATTTTCCCCTAAAGATTTCAGATAAAAAAGAGCCCAGGCCAGCCAACATCTTCACTTGTGCCTCATGAGACCCTGAACAGAGAATCTAGCAGCCTGTGTCAGTCTTCTGACCTTCAGAATTGTGAGACAATAATTGAATGTTTTGCAGCTATACTTGTGATTTATTATGGCAGCAATAGAAAATTAATGTGGCACATTTTGTACTGAGAGGGTAAAAAAACTGGGAGTCAGGAGGTTTTGTTCTTATCCTGCTACTCTAATTCAGATAATCACTTGCCCACTGTGAGATTTTTCTTATCAGTTGAGTGAGTTAAAATTTGTTCTGTGTGACTTTTATTTTATGAGCTTTTTTCCAGCAAAATWCATCCCTTTTAGTGTACATTCACTATGAGTTGTAATAAATGCATATAATCACCTTCACAAAGAACAACAAAAAAATCCTCATGCCACTCCTTTGTGATCAACTCCTCCCACCAATCCTAGCACTGGAACCACTGATCTACTTATTGTCTCTACTAGTTTTGCTTCCTCCAGAATGTCATTTCACAATGTATATGTTGTGAATGTTATATAAATTGGATATCAAATAAATTTAGTCATACAGTCTATATCCTTTTGTATCTGGCTTCTTTAATTTAGCATAATGCATTTGAGATTCGTCCACTTTGGTGTACCAGTAGTTTGTTCCTGAGTTCATTTCATTATATCAAATGTATATAATAATCTCTTCATTCCCCAATTGAGCATTTGGGTTATTTCCAGCTTTTGAGAATGAATAAAGCTATAAACATTTGCCTTTAGGTTTTTGTGTAAACATTAATTTTCTTGGGTAAATATATAGGAATGAGTGGGATCTTATTGTAAAAGTATGTTTATAAAAGAAATGTCCAACTGTTTTCCAAAGTGGGCATACCATTTTCCACCTGCAATGTTTGAGGATATCAGTTGTTTTGAATCCTTACCAACGCTTGGTATTAACTTTCAGAAATTAAAAAGTGGAGCCGCTTTAAAGGCTATTGATATCTCACTGTGATTTTAATTTGCATTTGTCAGATACATTATATTTTCTTCCAGTCCAGCAACACTTTTTTTTTTTTTTAAATCCTATGACTAATTCTTAACTGTATTCAGCTCTGTTGGAGAGAAGACTTCATGAGGCATCTGCGTTTCTAGGGGACTACTTGCTTTTTTATATTTCCTTGTAAACTCTGGAGCAGCAGAACTTCCTTTGTGGTTAGAAACTCTTGTGCTGTCCTGTCTCAGTGTGTTTCTCAGTCAAGGGTTAATGGATCAGAAAGGGACTGGGCATTCCCATTCTATCTGGCTGGGAGCACTAGAATAGAATTTACTGGTAACATAATGCATACTTGGGATGGGGAAAGGCATGTTACCAAAACCTGATGTAAAAAGTACAAAGGCCTAATATTGTAAAAGAATAAGTCATACCAAAAAGTAGAAAATTTTAAAATTTGTTTGTGTTCCTTCTTTGTATCTGATCAGAGATGTGACATTTCTTACTTAAGGCTAAATAGCTCTGAAATGTCAGCACTTAAAGCTCCTTTATTTTTGTGACTATGTTCTCCATCTTGGATTTTTAAAATACTCTTTAGGGTTTTATGTTCATGTTCTTTCCTTCTTTTCGTAGGAATCTGGTTTTCCCAACCAGGTCTATAAAATTTAGGTGACTTGGGGTCTTCATTGTGGGTATGAATACTATATTTGTTTCGGGATGGTATGTGATGTACCACAGAATCTCCATTCCCTAATGCCTACTGTGTAAAATGAACAATTCCCTCCCACTGAGTTTGTGTCCATTAGCAAAATATTTCACTGCAGTAATGAATTAAGGAATAGGGCAGATTGAAATGCTATAAGCTTTAAAAAGTAGTGAATAGGAATGACAGAAGATTCCGGAATTGATAGGAAGTATATCACAAGTATTTGTTACAACCAGGGAAAGCTAACAACATTGTTATTGTAGCTTTTGTTATGGGTTGTCTTGGCCTTCAACAATGCTTACTGAGCATCCCAGACTTTCCTATTCTAGTGTGAGTCACCTATAGAACAAAAGCTTTAAGAAATGAGTGCCAGGAGGACACGTTTGGGGGTGACATAGTCTGAACCCCTTTGGGGATGACATAGTCTGATCCCCTTTACTATGCTGGCATTTTTGGTTCCTCACAATGACTGAAAGAGCTGTTGCAATTGGAAAGGGGTCAATATGCAGAACCACCCACCCATAGAAGAACTGGCCCCTGACTGGTGTTTCTTGAAAGGTGCCTCCAAATGGAGTAGAGCATGTTCATGACATAATACAAAAATATGTGTAGACACTGACCGTTTTCATTGCCTATGAAGTTTATATGGAAATGAAGAACTATTTGTCATAGGAATTTCTAGAAAGAAAGCTTTGTAAGTGACCTGGATTAAAGAAATTAGAGA